GAAGTCCAAAAATGAGTGGATGAATGGATCGCCTCGAAAGACATCGCGTTCTACCGTCGTGGGATTGCCCTGTTGCCGGAGAGATGGGAAAAAGTAGAAAATGGAGGAAGTTACTTTGATTAAGGTATTCATTCATCTTCCCTTCGAAACAAATCGATTTTAGAGACGAAAAAACGATAGGAATTAAGTTTAACACCTAATAGATTCGAATTCCGTCGATATCGCGTATGCATTTTCAAATATTGTAAATTATATATCCAATGCGTAATTGTAATGCGTAATTAATATTGTAATATGTAAAAAACTTATACATTAATTCTGATTAATTAAATATGAAAATTAATGTATTTATTTTTAATAATGTATGAAAAAAAGATATATTTTATCGTTTTGAATATAGAACTTTGGTTCGTGATTTCACGAAATGCTACATAATATTTTATTATATTGGAATGCTATGTAACACAGTCGATAACATTCGATAAGTAAAATCTTAAAGAGTACGATAACATTCCAATATAAAATGCTGCATAGCATACGATAACATTTGATAAGTAAAATCTTAAAGAGTATGAAAACATTCCAATATAAAATGCCTTATAACATACGCTAATATATGATAAATAAAATCTTAAAAAGTACGATAATATTCCAATATAAAATGCTATATAGCATACAATAACATCTGATGAGTAAAGTCTCATAGGCCGGTATTCATAGTCAGATCTTATATTCAAGACCGTCTTAAGTACAGTCTTAAGAAGTCACGAACCAATCAGAGGGCCGCATTAGCGTCTTAAGACATTACTTAAGACGGTCTTGAAATAAGAACCGACTATGAATACCGGCCATAGAGTATGATAAGGTTTCAATATAAAATATTATATAGCATTTCGTGAAATCATGAACCAAAATCCATATTCAAAACGATAAAATCGTGTTCTTTCGTTTTCTATCGAATTTTTTTATTAGGGAAGTGAAGTGTGTCGATTAAGCTTGAACACAATTGTAAATAAAAACCGATATATGTCGATTAAGCTTGAACAAAATTGTAAATAAAAAACGATGTGTGTCAAGTATGTCGACTCTGTCTCCTAAAAGAAAAGCAACCTTAGTGTACTTATTACATACATATAAGAGTGAAAAAAGATTTATAATAATTACATTTTTAATGAAACATATTTTATTAATTTTTTAATAATAAATTTATGCAAATATTATTTAACTTCGCAGAGAAAAGAATTGCAGGTGTCCAATTTTTCACATCATTTCCCCAATATCTTTCGCTAACATTTTTCGCCTATAAATCACGACGTTCGGCATTTTGAGGAA